GCACTGCTCTAAAGAGCTAGCATCTTTTAAAATGCCATCTACTAAAATTCATTCTCCTGTTACTTCTCATTCAATTAAGTCTCTTTTTTTTATGATTATTCTTAAGTGCTTGAAAAACTTTCATTTGTTTAGTTTTTTAAACCAATGCATTGTTGTAAAAAAAATCAAAATGATTATATCATAAGCCATCATAAGCCAAAATGTTTTATATCATATTTCATATTTCATATTTCATTCTAAGTCAGATAGTTTGCCTCTTCAACTTCCTCAGTCAGGGCCGTATTAAGGCGCGGGCGGATGGGGCTGCAGCGCCAGGCCCTTATAAAAAATAGGCCCTAAGGCCCGTGACTTTTTTTTTTCTTTTTTACTTTATTTTTTTTTTTTTTTAGGGAACCAGATGAATATTCCTATGTTTCTCAGTTTTTTTAAATCAATTTATTGGGAGCTGCGGAGGCGTTGTGAATAAATAAATGAGTAGAGATATAGTTTCATTTTTAGTTATAAATAAACTTTTTTTTTATAATGAATTTCTTTATAATGAATTCATTATAAAGAGTTCATTATAAAGAATTCATTATAAGAATTTATATGAATTAATTATAAAGAATTTATAATGAATTTTTTATAATGAATATTTTATAATGAATTTTTTATAATGAAATTTTTTTTATAATGAATTTTTTTTATAATAAATTTTTTTTATAATGAATATATTATGAATTTTTTTTTTATAAATGAATTTCATTTTTAGTAAATAAATGAATAGAGATTAAGTTTCATTTTTTATTTTATGATCACTTCCGTTACCGCAGAAAATTACAGCATTGCTCATTCGTTTACAAAATTAAAATAAAAAATGAAAAAGAGCGTCCCGAGCGGTTGGGATAAAATGCAAAAGTAGAAGAAGAATGAGATTCAATTAAATGAATTATTGAACAAAATATACTGCGAGAAGTGTCTCGGTATCAGCTACAGCGAGAGCGAGTTCAAATTCACTAACTATGTCAATAATGTCAGCACCAGTTCCAGGTAGTGCTAATAGTGTCCCTGCAGACTCAGCTACAGCGAGGGCAGCTTCCCCTGACCCTCCTAATTGGGGGTCTGGGGGCCCCCTAAACCCCCCGGCTGGGGGCCTCCAGCCCACTGACCCCCGGGTTTAGCCTCGCTAACGCTCGGCATTTTTACCTTGCCGCCACATTAGGCCCTCCTATACTTACAGCCCCAGGCCTAAAAATTTCCTAATCCGGTCCTGTCCTCAGTTAGTCATAAACAGAATTATTGTAAAAAGAGTCGTGTCAATGAAAATCCTGGGAATAATATTTGATGAACATCTTAATTGGAAAAGTCATATTAAGCTCGTTGAAAACAAAGTTTCTAAAGCAATAGGCATTATGTATAAAACAAAACACCTACTAAGTAAAAAATGCTTAAAAGATATATACTACTGTTTTATTCATAGTTACATTAGCTACTGTAAGATTGCTTGGGCCAGTACTTGATCATCAGAATTAAAGAAATATATATGAAACAAAGACAAGCCAATAGAGTTACATGTAATATGCATAAATGTGCCCACGCCAAACCGTTACTCCGTGAAATCAAAGTTTTAAATATCTATGAGTTAAATTTGTACCAAAACCTATTATTTATGTTTAAATATCAAAACAACATGCTTCCTAAATTCTTTAACAATCATTTTTCAATTATTTCTCATAAATACTTAACGAGGTACTCTATTCACAACTTTAACTAAACTAAGTCAACATTGAAAAAAACAGATTACTCAATTTCATATGGAGGACCTCGTCTACGGAACAGAATTCTTGACGACAAAATGAAAAGTATAACCTTAATACTACTTTTAAAAATGTAGTTAAACAGAATTTGCTTGACTTAACAAATATAAACATACTTTTATATTTTTAGTTTCAAATTTAATTTTTTTTTACGTTAGTTATTTGTTTTTCTTGCTGTTTTTTTTTTTTTTTTTTTTTTTTTTGCTTTTTACTTTACTTTTGAAGTATTTTTATCTTACTACAATAAAGTTTATATTTATTTGCTTTATATAATGAGTATTTGTATATAATGAGATAATGACACTAAAAAAAAAATTTAAATAATTATTATATATATATTTTATTTTTATATTTTACTTTAGAAGTCTTATTATAGTATAGCTATTTTTAACTTGCTATATAAAATGATTATTTATTTTTTTGTTGAAAAAACTTGTAAAGCTAATCTTTTAAATTTCTTTACTTTATTCATTTAATTTAGCAAATTTTATTTTATTATTGTTATTTTAACTTGCTTTATATAGTGAATATAAATTATTATATTTTATATATTATGGATACTTTGTAAAAAATATATCACGCAAATTGTAGGGGCTTGACGACAAGACTTATGTCTTCTACTTGCTCCTGTCATTTTTTATATTTTGATTTATTTATTAAACTTGGCAACGAGAACATTGTAAAATGCATAAATATGACGAAACAAATAAATAAATAAAAAATTATTTCATTTAGAACAAACTTTGGACTTTCCTTTTGACATACATCCTGAATAGAATTTATTAGGTTTT